TGCGTGCAGGTTGGAAGCGCGCAACATTACAAAGTTATTAATATACATAAAATGTATGAAACAGCTTCAAATTTATGATAAAAGGACATGCAAAAGAGCTCAGAATATGTTTATTAGTACAAAAGACACCAACAAAAAGTGTTACAACATGCAAAATATAATTTACACGGAAATTGTTAATAAGCATTAAGACCGACACCAAAACATGCATGTTTGCAAACAAACAAAGAAAAAAAATCAGCGTGCTCTATTAAAAGAAATTTTAATGAATTAAATACAAATGATTCAAGTTAAACAAAAGAAATTCAGGATAAAATTAGTAATACTGAAGTTGAATTACGAGTACATAAATTGTGAACACAATAAAACAATCAAAGAATATTTACACCTGCAATTTAAAAAACAATATATTTATAAAAAGTATTTCTTTAGTTGAAAGAGAAAAGTTAACAGTGTATAACATAACCACAGTCATGCAAAGAACATAAAAACCACAAGTATAAAAACAGTTGTGCAATAAAGAAATTTGGTATTTTGTACTACTGAGATATAAATAGTTATGAGATTTTATTAATTTTATGAATATGTCACATTTACAAATATGTACCTGTACAATAACTGGATGAATAAAAAGTAACAAAATCTATGATATCGCAATAATCTAGAGTGTGAAAATCGATTAATCACAGCAAATATTTTATGGTTTGCATTCAGTAATTAATGCACTATTTTCGTTGTATCGCAGTAAAAGACTGTTTGTTAAAATGTAGCAGAAAATTAAAAATTGTGATAAAAGGTTATTACACTTAAGGTTAAAATCCGGAATAAATGTAATAACCAATATTTCTGTTATCTGCTACTATGGCGAATATTTCTTCCAAATAGTTGAAATCTGTAAAAAATTAAATTTTGACCTGCAAAAAATAATGTGGCACTGGCCAATCCACCAATCGCAACCCACCAACTTCCTCTCGCCTGTTTTATCAGATAATAATGCTGTACCTGGAATTAGTGTAACGTTAAAGGTAAGGTTTCTTTATGAGACTTGTACTGGTCAATGAAGAACAGAAGATACAATTACTGATATCAGATGTCTAATTCAGAATGGAGCAGCTAGTCCTCCAACTTCAATATCTGTGTTGTGTATGTGTTAATTCTATAAAATTTAGCTTGAATTTGCCTTTTAACACATGCTGTAAAAAGCAGTTTGTTTTTATGCTGCATATTTTCAAGTCATGTCCTTTTTATTCAACTTTTTTTTATTTATGGTAATGTTTATTAATTATTTGTGCCAGACTTTGAACATAGGAGATATTTACATTTGAAAAGTCTGTCTACAATGTTAATTATTTTGAAAATCAATGATAATAAATTACAAGATCTTTAGAGCAGTGCGAAAGAAACTGCGCATATTTTTAAAAATAATTCGAAGACTTAAACCGATACATATATTTTTAATATTTCTGTTTCTTGAATCTTCCTTTTTAATTTCGATAAACATATTCGGTGGGACAGGTAGAATGAAAAATCCTTCACTAATTATCTTAAAAAAGATTCACATAGGAAAAAAATGTGTATTTTAATTAAATAACACCTCTCAAGAAGTTAAGCTTCCAAAGCAACACAATTTCAAGCAATAACTGATGTAAAACATTAATGGGCATTGCAGCAGACGCAAAATTCGAATGTAAATCGCCTACGATACTTAAATAAAAATTTTTGTAACCGGAAGTAGCGTTGCGGGTTGAATCTTCTTCCATTGTTGTGTTGATGGTCGATTCAGTTTCATCAAGCATGAATGTGGTATTGGGATTCAAAGATTTTGGAAGTGGAAAGGGGGATAAAGTAGTGACTGTTTCATTTACCGTAAATGTAGGCCAGACTCCTTTAATGGACGATGCCGTATTATGTGTAGAGGGGAAGGAATTACGCACTGATGTATAATCACTTCTTGGCTCATAATACGTAGACGCTTGCGGATATAAGGTAATATTTTGTATTGTGACCCCTTTGGCTACTGGAAAAGTGACTTCGACAGGATCGTAACCTTCAGCTTGCGCCTGAAACAAAAATAAAGAAATTAAACAAAATATTATGGCTTACCTTAAAAGTTAAAACATTCCAAACAAATAAATTTTAGTAATTGTAGGGTTATTACTATTAATTTTTACTAACCAGCTGTTTTATGTTTGGGATCTTTACTCTCACTTCTCCTTTACGTTTCGCTACCAGAATGTAAATGAGGTAGAAAGAGAAAATATTTAAAGGAAGGTGTCGAGAGTGTAATTCAAAGCGTGTTCTGTCTCTCGAGGTCACTTTAGTACGTTCCCTCTAGCTCAGATAAGATTTGCTGCAGTGTTCGAATTGGTATTATAATTGCCGATATTTGAATACCTCCACCAGTTAGGCGTGTGAGCCAGTTTCGCGTTAAATTGATTTGTAGCATTTGGCTACTAGCTTACTTAACTTTAAATTTTACATTTGACTGTTATTTTAAGTTTACATCGCCACAAGTAAATGGCTGGATTTTAAGCACGGATCGTGCTTATATGTTCCAGTTCTGATTTAATAAAAAAAGTTTGCTTTAAAACCTTCGTAAGACTTGGTAGTTCTGTCCAGATTGAGCGATAATTCTCTTAACGTCTGTTAGGAGTTTGATACTAGTTTATGCTACCGAAACACGTCAAACTTTATGAAATATATTTAAATAATAGGATATTATTTTTTAAATTCCAGCTTAACACTTGAATGATGTCATAAGATGCTATATGCATTGTAAAACAGGCGAGTTTACGAAAAAATAGTTACATTCTTAACATAATTAGGAATGATTACTGGTATACAGTATACAAACTAATGAATACATAGCAGTGCTATTGAACAATACATTATTATACTGTTTGGATGCTTTTTTGAAATTATCTTTTATTTGTAAGTTGCATTTTAAAGTTCAAGATTTCTGAGCGGTTTCTCATTAGTGGTATTTTATTACATTCCCATTGCAAATATGAAATACCACAGGAACTTAATACATCTACTAACTTGGATAGTGTAGGTTCCTGGGCGTAAAATACGCCAATATTCTCCTCGCCGTGTAGTTCTTGAACCGAATTTTCTCCCTTTCACGTCGATGGATGCATTGAAGACGGGGTTCTTGTCTGGATCTGTCACTTGACCCCATACTCCTGAAAGTATACAAAATCCATATAACAGGAATGCAACATACATAATTAACTTATTCGCGGAGCAACTATGAACTTTCGCTACATCGAATTCAGTAAGAAACTGAAAATACAATGTCGTGGCAACCACCTCGCTAATAACGACTTCATCTAAAAACGATTAGTACGTCTTAAAACACAACCAAATATTGGTATAAAGCACCATTTCTCTAATACAAAAATCTTGACAAAACTTTATGGAAAATTTTCATCATCAAACAGAAAATAATAACAAAACTTTAAAATCATTTACTGCCAATTTAATTTTAAGCTATCTGAAATGATATTTTACACAGAATATATTATAAAAATTATAAAATATAATATGATTAAATTACATAATAACGATGGTTATGACAACACGACTAATTTAATTACCGACTTTTTACGATGATATATAGTTACTATATAAAATAATCTATATTAATAACTGGTACATGAAATAGTTCTAGTTAATAATAATAAAGTAATGTATAACTATACGAAATAAAAATTCCGTAAATAATAATAAATTTTCTGTAATTGTGTCTTAAGTCATTTTAATGTGGCAGAGGACACAATGATTATCTGCCTAATGGAAGGGATGCTTAAAGAAAACCGACTCGTATATACGTTATATATGGGGAACATTCAGAAAATCACCTATCCAATCATTTCATTCTAGCATTCAGCGATTTTAACCATTCAGCCACTGGTGGGCTATCGTCTAACAGCACCATCGCAAATGGGACCTTCGGACGTAACTGAAGTCGGTCAGCTGGAAATTCAGGACTGCATAACATGGCCAAAAGTGCACTCACAGCTACGAGGTCAAACTTTCTCAATATAAGCGGTGATTTTGTGTTTGTCCGTTCCAGTCTTTGATGATATTTTATCCCTTAATAATGGAAGATTTGCGAATGTTATCAGTTATTTAACACTCCGAGCTGCAATTCTTAAACCATGTCCAGCTGAATTAGAGGATAAAAATCTTCAGGGCAGCAAGTTTTAAGACGAGTAAAGAAAACCTTATTTGTGAAATATTTAAGTGACTTTCTGATGTTAGAGACTCCGAATTTTAGAGAGAGTTTATCAACTTATAATATTCTTCCTAATTCTGTGTGTAAAATTATGATTGTTACGACCAATCAGTAGATTTGAGAAGCCAATTTAGTTTTCCAATATACCGCATATAAAAGTACTACATTTTTTATTTAACATCCGAGCAGCCCGGATGGTATACTGATTAGGGAAGCCGACTACGATACGGAAAGGTCCGAGTTCGAATCCCGAAGAAGGCATGGATGTAAATTGTCTTGTCTCCTCATAGAAGGTAATGGTGGTCGCCTATTAGGTGCTTCCATCATAAAATGACTACCGCTTTCGGCCTTAGTAGTGGCAAAAGCCTGAAAATAGATAGTGCCTGCCATTAAAAAACAAAGAAAAAAATAACATTCGAAAGCCCTAAATGGAACATCATTTGACTCCTTAGAAAAACGCACGACGTTAGAATACAGTTCAATTTTCACCCCAGTATATTGGTCTGGAATGTATCGGCAAGACACAAGGAATGTTAAGCTACATTCTATAACAAAAAAAATCGACGCACCAAAAAGAAGGAATCATCCGATTGCTTTGAAATTTCGTATGCATGAATATTTTAACTAAATATGCAAATGATTAAAATTTGGTGTCCAATGAATGAATAGTGCGATCTCCAGCGCGTCGGTACTGCGCATCCAGCGGATGTACATAAAGAGATGTTCTTGAACTGTTGTTAAAAAATTTCTGTTGCATTGCTATTTAGGATATTTCAAGGACTAAAAAGCTCGTTGCATGATTCGAGCTCATTACGAGCAACTGCCAGCGTTTGAAAGAGGTCGTATGATTGGATTGAAAGAGGGACGTTGCTCAAATTGGAGAATCGCTCGTCATATGAGTCGAAGCGATGCGACGATTAGAAGATGCTGGCAAGAATGGAAGGACAATGGCAGATTTCAGCGTCATGATGGTAACGATCGACCTAGGGCCACAACAGATCGGGAAGACACAGTGATTGTCAGATCAGTTGTCACAGCGCCTGATTCATCGCTATTAACCATCAGACGTGCGACCCGCACACGAGTGTCCACTATGGCCATTCACAAACAGCTGACAGAGCGAAATCTACGCTCATACCAACAGTTACGCCACCTGCCACTCACGCCTGCACACTCTCGAGCCAGATTACAGTGGTGCTTGGCTCGATGAAGTTGGAATGATGCTGACTGGAAACGTATAGTCTTTAGCAACAACAAATCCCGCTTCCAACTGCATCGTGAAGATAATCGAAGACGTGTCTGGATACGCTCAGAGCCGCGTACCGATCCTGTTTTGACTACAGCACGCCACACAAGCCCTCAACCAGAAGTTATGGTTTGGGGTGCCATTTCTCTTGATAGCCATACCTCATTGGTCGTCATTAGCGGCACACTTAAGCACAGCGGTTCGTTGACGACATTCTAAACCTGTTTTGCTACCGTTCCTTTTGCAGTACCCTGGCCTTATTTTTCAGCAAGATAATGCCAGACCACATATGGCACTTTTGCTATGAACCATCTTACAGCTTGTCAAATACTTCCTTAGCCAGCCAGATCGGCAGATCTCTTTCCCATCAAGCATGTCTGGGATATGATGGGAAGGCGACTGCATCTACCAGGGAATGCTGATGACCTTCCCCGACAGTTGGAGCAAATTTGGAAAACACCGCAAGAGACCATTCGGGAGCTTTATCAATCTATGCCAAGCTGTGTGGCAGCTTGCATTCAGGCTAGAGGTGGGTCAACACCTTATTGAGGTCGTTACTTTGTAACTATGTAACTCTGAAATAAATCATTCGATTGATATGAAATTTTAATCATTTTCTGTTCTGTACATTTTCTATTCTGTAATCTTCCTATCCACCAATTTTTGTCTCCATTGGTGCGCCGATTTTTTTTTTTTTTTTTTTTTTGTTTGTTTGTTATAGAGTGTATATTTCTTCTCGCTTCCACGATCGCCATAAAGATGTTATTTAAGAGATTTTAGAACTACTCGCAGTTAACATAAGACATTTTGATTTTTCTCATAATTCTTATATATGAATTTAATTTAACTTTCACTGAAACATGTATAGTACGTAACGATAATGTTCTTCTGATATGAGAAAAATAATTCCAAAATATATTGAAGTTGTTATCGAAGTTTACAATACGGCGAGGGAAGCACTACAGAGAACGAATCCATACACAACAGATTATTATGGAGCATATGCAGAAGTCGCTTTATGACAACGCTCAGGCCAGTTTTCTTCCGTATCATAATCCTATGGTCTCGATTCGCCTGTCTACGTAGGGTATGTTATACATTGTCGCATTCCTTGGCTTTCGTATTCAAAATACGGTAAACTTTGTCAAGGTGCCCATTTCCCTCACACGATCACTCCTGAAAGGGACTATAATATTTATGAGAAATTTAATAAATTTTAAATACTGAATTTTCTCTTTCTAAGACGACCAGCTGTAATGAAAATCAAAATCTTTTGGAACCGTGGATGGTCATTTTAAAGAAGCTCATAATTTTTCTTCGTATGTAACCCCTCTTTGATGAAACCCACAGCAGGCCACTAGCTACGATTAAATTAAGTTAAATTTTTGCTGCTGAATTGATTTACCAGTTGTGAACTCGAAGCAGATTAATAAAAATCGAAATTTTTACGAGTCTTAGCGATATGTAAAACATTCTTAGAGTATGCGCAGTCTTCGTATGCTTTCTTGTATACATTTGCTGAAGAAATAAAATTAAGATTCTCCGCTTGTAATAAAAAGCATACCAATGATCGATTGAATAAGACAGCTGAATGCCAGTAATGCGCGTCGGGTTCAGTCAAGAGTCTGCATAAGTTCCCCCCCCCAATGGTTTGCACCATATGTAAGATGATTATGAGCTAATAATCCAGTAGAAAATCCGCCAGGAAGACGTTTCTGTCATTAAACAACATACAATGCTCTAACCCAATCCAACTGCACTTGTAGAGTTACACTTGATCTGGTAAAGCTATTTCAGTCTAATAACCATAACAGACGTGACGCGAATCATCGCTATTTCTGAGACCGATTGCAATAAAAAAGAGAGGTGCTTTACTAGATTTTATAGCAGTCCCGTATGCAAAGTTTCACCGTTCTACGATTAATAGTTTTGAGTAATTCGAGATACATATATACATAGGTACGTACATAACATTATATATATATATTAAAAGAGATGTCACATAAAAATCCACTTTGAATCCATTTTACAATCTTTTTTGAAATAAGGAGTCTTTTATTCTGTCCATACGTACAGACATTACACATAAAAATAGTCAAAATGGATTCGAGAATGGTCAAAGCAGATATTTCCGGTGAAATCTGACACCCGAAATTTTTCGGAATTACAATACTTCTCTTTCTTCGTAAAAGGCATTAAAAATCGAATTTTACTTATGTATTGATTTTTTTCTGTTTTTAGAAACTGCAGACATTTTTCCGTCATTTAAAACTAACTATGTAAAAATATTTAATTAGAGTTTTCAAAATTAGTAAATAAAGGAAGGATAAAAGTTCCGAAACAAAATTTACCAGTGAGGATATTTAAATCATCAGCTGATGCTTGTTTAAGACAGTATGAACAATTCCTTCATATTTTTTCGCTCTCATATAACTTTTAATTGCTAAGTCTGTATCAATTGTTTTTACGGATTCTTTTAAGAGTAAGTTTCGTGCAGCTCAATTTTCAGGCATAAGCCAACTAATTTAATAACGGAAAATTCCTAGTGAAAAGTTTAGATTTACAGACGAAATAATAAATAAATTGACTATTTATTATGGAAATGCCATTAGGAAACACTGCAATTGTGCAAAAGTTAAGCAAAATTCAATATGGGCAATATTTTACAACAAACGTTTCATTGATGTGGTAACCTATTC